CCGCCCCGCCCGGCCCCGCCACACCCCGTCACGCCCCACCACGCTGGCCGCGACGCGCGCCCTCCAAAGGGTTTTGTGTGTTTGTGTGAATCTCCACCATGATTACCGATGCTGGTCAGCCAGGTACTCTAAAAAAATGGAGATTTTTTAACTACTTCTGTAGTCTTTGTGTTTGCCCAAACGTATATCTACAATATAAAAAATTTGTGTTAAAAAAACTGTTACACCAAAATGACAAATAATTTTCCTTACTTTACCCCCAAAATTATTGCAACCCTGCCACCCTGACTTGTCCAACAGATTGTGTCGCGCGTGCGCCCACTGACCGTGCAGCCGGAACATGATCTCACCCTTCCTCTCACCCCTTCCATATACTATTTTTTTCCCCGCCTCCACAAACACACCGGCTTGCTGACCCATCTATCAAGTCCCTTTTTCGCGCTCCCCTACGCGATCACAAAACGGCCCGCGGCCGTGTCGCGCCCGTCATATATTGTCGGACATTTAACACATTCCTAAGTAACAGCGAGCGCAGCAGCCAGCGGTCAGAGAGTAACCATCAATCTCAACAAAAACCACCCATAGGTCATCAGGACTTGGACCGCGGCCCCAGCCTCCCACCCACAGGGCCGCTCGGGGCGCCCGCTCTGCTTCAATAAAGCAGTTTCCTCGATTTTGGCGAATAATATAACAGCATTATGAAACCAGGACGAGATGAAATGTTTGTATGCCGCCGTTTCGCTGTACTCTCCCTGCCTCCAGCGATGAAAAGATTTGAGCTAAACTGCCCTTGCGCGGAGAGGGAGAAAGGGCGAGGGTGGGGCCGAGGAAATGGACCGCTTTGGAACGCACTGCTCCATGAAAGACCACCGCGAGATTTACTCCTGATTTTTCTCTACCGCTCACTTTCTCTCTCCCTCTCCCACTCTTTCCCTCTCTCCTTCCGCCGCCCTGGCCGGGAGGTGTTGGACAGGCCCATCTATACCCTGTCCGCCTCGGCGCGACACACTGTGTACTACGGCCCGTCCCGCCCGCCATCGTCCAAGGCTGCGGCGATGGCGTCCGATTTCCTCAAATTGGACGACTCGCCCCGCGCATCCAGAGCAATATCGCCTCGCGCGCCTCGATATCTCGAAATCGAAACGTATCCGATAATCTCATAGCTGTTTGTTGTCTTTCCCAGAGAGAGAGAGAGAGAGAGAGAGAGAGAGAGAGAGAGGGGGAGATGGGGGTGAAGAATTCTTCTCTCTCTTTCTACACGCCTCCCCCTCGCTAGCTCTCTTCTTCTCTCCCGCTCTATGTGTGTCTTCGGATCGTATGCCTCGCACAGCAGCTCCTTGTTCCAGATCCGATCATGGTTATGGCCGCTGGCGGCGGGGCGCAGCGACACTGTACACCCCCTTCACCATCTCTTAGCAGCCTAGCAGCGCTCTCTCTCTCTCTCTCTCTCTCTCTCTCTCTCTCTCTCTCTCTCTCTCTCTCTCTCTCTCGCACACACATACACAATGATTGCACGGTGGTCCGGCGAGCGGGCGCCGACGACGGAGTTGGCAAGAAAGTAGACGTGCGTAGTGTGTTTAGGGGCGGCAACAGCAGTATTGATTAGACGGCCCCTCCTCCTCACACACACTGACCCCCTGCTAGCGCCCCCCCCCCCCTTTGCCTCGTGAGAAGCACGACCCGACTTCAACACAAGCAGGCGTCGGCGGCGCGGGCGGGCGGTGCGTCTTGAAAATATTTTGGGGCCGCTATTATGCAGATGACCACGACGCGCACCTCACCTTCGTGTGGGGGGCTACTGAGGGAGCAGGAGTGAGAGAGAGGGGGGGGGGGATTAATAAAATTAAAACGACGCACCGCGTACCTGAGCCTGCATGAAGCCTTTTTTTAAATTATTTAATGCCCCTCCTTATTTGCAACAGACCGGCCCCGCCCGCGGCGCACACCGGCGGCGCGCGTCAAATAAAATTAGCCCCCCGAAAAATGAAGCATCTTGTGTGAATATTATCGCGTCGAAATGCACCCGTGGCGCCGGAAGTACTTGGGACAGGTGTTTTAGTGTGAGTGTGTGTGTGTGAGCGGGAGAGAGAGAGAGAGAGAGAGAGAGAGAGAGAGAGAGAGAGAGAGAGGCTCTGCCCACGGTGGCGGGTCATTGTCGCTAATAAAGCAAATAAAGATTGCATCACCAACGTCATCGCACTGTTACGAGCCTCATTAGCATTACCGAAAATAATAATGACGATAATAATTGGCCCGCCTTGGCGGGACGGACAAAGCGGATTAGCATGCAAACGGCTTCATCGCGCAGCGCCCCGCGCCGAATCCGGGTGTGCGAATCCAGCTGGCCTGTGTGTGTGTGCGCGCACAGGTCTTAACCACTGCGAAATAAGAATATTCTTATTGCTTTATATTCTCGCAGTGAATTGCGCGCAACTGTATCAGCAGTTCATGATATGCTTCCCACAAAAATAAAAAAATTAAAATGACATTAGTCCAAATTGACTGTACTCCGCGCCGCACCCGACTGCCGATACGCACACTTTGAGCTCCCGCCCACTCAGCTCTGCATTATAACCCCTTTTGGTGGCCACCCAGCGGGAGCTAATAAAGCTATAAAACCATTGCAGTGTCGTTATCTTCCCCTCCGGCAGGTACATGTTTAATTACGCGTACTCTACATGTAGCACACGCAGCGCCTGCTGACCCGACCCGACACTGTTGTAAAATATTTAAAATGTTCTCGGAGGAGGAGGGTTTAGTGGCGTCTTAATTTACTATTCATCCGCCGAGGAAGGAGGAGTAGGGAAGTCCTGCTGACCCGCAGTAGTGCCGTAGCGCGCGTGTGTGTGTGACCGCAACACTCACACAGGCCCACACTCTTGCTTTCGGCTCTTCCTCTTGGCCCGCTGCAGCGCGCCGAGCGTGCTCGCGAGCTCGCGTGTGATTCTATCTCATCGCTATTATGCGTGCATATAAATCTTTTTGGGGTGGCCGAAAAATATTTTCGGTAGGACGTCAGGGAAGACACATTAGGCATGCGCGATGCATATGCATGCATGCCGGGCGCACGGTGTTTGTATTCCCATTTTCAACGCCCGCTGCTGTCGGTGCAGCCGCAGCATGCAAGGGTGGAAGGTGTCTGTCGAGCCGACCGCGACCACACGCTCTGTGCGCTCGACGGAGAAAGGATGCGCGACTTCGACCAGAGTGAACCCTGTGTTTAGACACGATCCCGTTAGGGTCGGTTATACCAGAACCAGACCAATTTCACAATATTACCAGCGCGATAAACCAGGTATGCAACCGCTAACCACTTCTCGTAAGTTTGCAACTGAAACTTGGATACCTGCAAGTTTACAACTCCATAGTTGTGTTCACCAGCGAGTGATCAACTCTGCATGTGTGTAACTTGAAAGTGTACAACTCCTCTCTACAGAGTTGAACACTTATTGCAAGTATTAAACTTGCAATTGCACACTCTTACAAGTGTTTGCTGGTTGATCACACTTACAAGGAGACTTAGGTAAGTGTAAATTCCCGATTCGGTTCAAACTCGGTATATTTGCTTCTTATCCCTATAGATGACTATTGCGCGTCAAAATTTGTGCTGAAGTTCATATGTCAAAAGTCCCTATAGGGGCCTATACGGGCCTATAATTCCCAAAAAATAAAAATTTCATGTTAACATTTTTTTAAAGTGATATTCCGACTCAGAATGTGCGGTTTTGGGGGGGTAGTTCCTCTTCCATTTTTCGATTTGAGAACGCCTTCCATGAGTTTATGTCGAATTTCTAAACTTTTTCTTTAAAACGCTCCTATAAAGTACCCCGGGATGTGAACTTCAGCACAAAATTCGACCGGCGTTCGTCATCTACATGGTCAAGAAGCAAATATACCGAGTTTGAACCGAATCGGGAATTTACACTTACCTAAGTCTCCTTGTTAGGTTGTATCCGGTGACATACAAACCTACAACCTAAAGGAGGTCCCTGATTGGCCAATTCCCCCCCTGAGTCATTTGTTTTGGGCGAATTGGCCAATCAGGGATCTCGGTTAGATTGTAGGTCGCTAGATACACGCTTGGTTGATCAGTGTAATAGTGAGAGTCCAAGAGGAAAAATCTTGAAAGTGAAGCAGAGAAAGAGTTGGGGAGTGCGAAGGGGAGTGGGGTAACGGACGTCGGCAACCCGTGTGTGGCCGCGGCGACGCGGAGGTGCCTAAAGAGCGGAAACGCCGCGTCTGGCAGCAGTCGGACTGAGATGTAAATATTTGAGGGAAACGATGATGAGATCTGCGGGTAATGACGAGTATGCTGATCATCACTTAATTTGCCTCCGGCCAGCCGAGCCGCTCGCACCAGCCGGCCTGCTTTTTTGATGGAACTGTGCCGGCCTCGTCCGGAGAGTTCATTTTTCATGACCCCCATGCGGACGCGCGGAGACGGGCGAGTCTCCACGGTGAAACGGCACTATAAAAATATGTGGAATGCTCTCACGGCGGGTCTCACATACAATGTTTTTATTTTTTATTTTTCCGGGTTTGGCTGGTTTACTTAGCTTTGTCCTAAAAATCTTACAAAATAGAAAGCAGGCAAACCTGACCCAACACCCAATGCAAGAGTGGAGGTACTAGTTCTTTCTGGCGAAGTCTGCTGTTGCTGGTTCTGCCGCCGCCATCTGATGGCCAGTCTCCTTTCGTTTCAGTAATGAGACGGGCCTTTGCATACTCATTTGGGGCCGTTGTGGCCCACCGGATGTCGATCTCTCGACCCGCCACGGCACCGAGCTATCGCTCTTGGTCTTGACGCGCTGCCGTTGCGTTTGCAGCGCTTCAGAGAGGTGACTTGCATGCCTACACTGGCACTTCCCTTGCCTATAGACTAGCCGGTTACTTGGAGTTCCCAGTGGGTGTAGGATTCGTTTCTATTAGTCCAAAAATACAAATTATTAGCTATATTCCGAAGAGGCATATTTTCTTATTTTCGTCTATTCTGCTTCCAGGTCCCCTGTGGCGACGTCGCGGTTCGATCCAGGACGGCGGCGGTGGCGGCAACAGCAACAACAGCGGAGGGGAGCTTGGCGGTGGCGCCCAGGACGCGTCGCCCGTCTCGGACCAGGACTCCGGCGTCAGGCGGCGCCAGGAGGACCAGGATGACGACAAGGACACCGAGGACCTGGCCCCGCCCTCGTGGCACACGCCCACCGAGACAGGTGACTATACACGCCCATGCCCGCCGTCATGTCGCTCCTCGTCGGAACCGTCGGACCATTTTTCACAAACGCCGCGTTGCGCGAAGGCGGGTGCGATCATTTATAATCCCCGAGGTTTGACCGTTCGCGCGCCAAAAGAAGATGAAGAAGAAGGGGGAAAAAATGGTCCTAAGAGCGTGCGCCCCATCCAGAAGAGGGGGCAGAATGTAGCGAAAAAAAAGGAGAGGGGAAAAAATTGCGGGCTGGGTATACACGCGCGAGGGTGGAAATGGGCGAGGGTTGGACGAGAGAGGGTCGGACACCGGCTGGACAGGGAAAGTGGGCTGGAATATGGACTCGCACGATGATGCATCAAGTCGTGATGGCCTTCCCTGGTGGCGCACAAAAAGAAAGAGGGGGAAGGGACGTAGTCGCGATGTCCACAAGATACACCACAAAAATGTTAGTTTATCTTTCGTTTCCAAGAAAGTACGTTATGCGCTTATCGAAGACACCTTTTTTTTTTTTCGGGAGCACGCTTTTGACGTGTGTGGTAAACTGAAAATAACCAGCTTCTCTATTTCTGCTCGCGGTGGCCTCTCTATGACGGTGACGTTCATAGGCACGACGCCTTTGTGGACGCGTCGCGCGCGAGCGGGACGAGACGGGAGAAGGAAAAAAAATAGAGGTAGCAGCTGATTGTGCAATGAGCGTGAGCAGTCTGCGACCTTCTGCTCCGCTTGTGAGTGTGACGCTGTGTGTGTGACCTTTCGCAGTGTGACACGGCGACGCCGTAAGTAGGTCACACCGCGTCGTATGGCCGAGGAATGATGTGAGGAATCGGTAGTTACAAGGGTAAGAAAGGTGAGAGACAGCCGGCAGGCGAAAGAGTAGGTAACCGACGAGGTCTGTAGTAGTGAATTATTTCGGCCGTGCTGGTGGGGGAAAGGGAAGCCCCACGGGTGGCGGCGGCGGCGGCGGTCGGGCACATGAGCCGTCTTGGTGGCGGTGGTGACCCCAAAAAAAGGGTGGTGGCGATGCAGGGTGGGGGCGACGAACAGAGATTGGTAGTTTTACACTCTGTTGACTACACTCAAAACACACACTGGGGAGGGAGAGGCCCGCGAGCGGCGCCCGGCCCGCGCCAAAGCTGGAGGAGGGGGAAGGGGAGGGCAGGTCCGAGGAAGGGGTGACGGCTCAGCATGGCGGCCACGCTTCGTTACCATATGCCTGCCCGCTAGGTTTTTTTCTAGCTCCTGTTTTCCCTCCCCCCATTTCTGACGAATGTCGCATGACACAGAGTCCCGGCCCCGCGTCAACAGTTTGGTCACTCATTAATCCCTTTGCAACCCCTTTTTTATTCATCATTCATTTTTCATACATCGGCACGGGGGCTGTCGTAATATGTCGAATTGGTCTCGCCTAATGGGGTGCTTTTTATCCGCCTCGACATCATTAGAAGCATCTCTTTTTTCGACGAACGAAGCGACATAGTAGGAGCGGGAAATGAGATGCGTGTTCGGATCGAAACTGTTTCAAGTCTAGAGTGTCGCAATTTGCGACAGACACAAAACCCCCTTAGGCGACTCGGGGACAGGACTGTATTCCTAAGTCGCAAATCTCTCTAGGGGGGCGCGAAATCTGGCACTTGTTTTGACAAGCGACGCGCCTCGCTGGGAGGCTGCGAGAAGAGGGTTGAGAGTGGCTTAACACGGTCTGGGAATTCCCCAAGCGGAGTTCCTGACTCACTTTTTTTTAAGGAGACGAAGAAGAAGTGTGCGCGACGAAAGTCAGTTGCTTGCTTTATACTGCGTTCTGAATCCATTTATTTTCGTCGACCCCATCTTTTTAAGAAGGGGGCGGGGCGCGGACGCGCCCTAGAAACGCGAATCTCTTTTTGGGCGCCATCATTAATTTCCTGTTTAACAGAGGCGGGCGATTTGAATGGACTCCCGCTCCGCTCCTCGCGGGCAGCAGGCCGAGGAGCTGCAGCAGAGGCCCCCGGGCCAATCGCGCGGCGCCTCAATCAATCAATCAATCAGCCAATAGACCAATTCATCAATCAATCTGTGAAAAAGCTGCCGCCAGTCCTGCACCCCTTGAACACCGTCTGGATTAGCCCGCGCTGTCGGGCGCGCACCCCTCGGTCGGTGCAGACTCCACAACGGCCACCCACAGGACGCAGCCGCACCGCGCGAACCTTGTCTCGTACACTTCTTGTACACGTTCAAAAAGTGACCAAGATTACCAGAAGACTACCGAAAGTTATTAGTTCCCTGGCATATTAGTCGACTATTGATTTTTGTTTAAATGCAAGATAAACATATTCTACCATGCCCGAGACCATGCCTGTGCAGGTTTAGCAGCTCGGATCGGAAGCTGAGGTGCTGCACGGGTTCTCACGCCGCCCGCACCAAAGGCGCCCCACTTTGTACTTATGCACCTCCTGGAGAGACTCGCTGAGGGGCGGCGCGATGTGCTGCTAAACCCTTTTGCCGTCCTCCTCCTCCCGTCCCGCCCCGGCCGCGGCAAAGTGATTTCTCCCCCTGCTGCACAGTAGTAGCAGTAGTAGCTCTTTCAACCCTTCTCTCTCCTCTCCTCCTCCGTCTTGGGCGTCGTCTTGTCCCCGACGCCCTGCCCCTTTATAAATGATGGAGTGAGAAACAAGCGGCCTGTACATAAAACAGGCCGTGAATCAGTGCAGAGGCGGCGGCCGCGTCGGCGCGGGACATGATGTAATGGGGCGGGGTGAGGGAGGCGGGGCGGGGCACGGCAGTGCGGGCGGGGTGCCGGGCTTTATCCGGTGATCACTGCTGCCCAACCCTTCTGGCCCGCGGCCTGCCCTGGCCTCCCCCTCTCCCTCCCCAGCTGTGGCCGGTCGCCTTTTGCGATTGTGACAAGACGACGAGGTCCGGCTGCTGCTGCCGCTGCTGCTGCGGGCCCGCCTGCAGGGCGCGCGCATATTGCTTCAGAGTCATATGTGTATTTGCCTGCAGCCGCCTGCTGCAGCCCTGTCGGACACGCGATAGTGACCGAGAAGGGTCTCAACATGTCGTCGGATCAGCCGCCCCCGCGCGGCCGAGTGGCCTGGCCAGGACGGGACGGGGGAGGTTTTTTTCCCTTTTTTTCCCCCCCCTCGCCTTTATCTGAATGTCGCACACTTCGCCTGTGCTGCTCGCTCCCGCCCCGCGAGGCACACGGCGATTGGAATTTAATGGGTAATATTTCCGCGGCTTTGATGATCGGTTCCGCTCCGGTTTCGTTATCACCCTGGCGAGGCTGCGCCCCGCTCCCCTCCGCCGCCCGGCGGCCCCTCTAGGTTTGCCTATCTGAAGGTATCGACGTTGTTCGCCTGCCCCACCCCCGCCCCGCGCCGCGCCGCCCCCGTTTCACGGGCTTGCCGGATGTGTTTCTTTTTGTTTTCTTTTTTTCTCCGATGGAATCCGCCGCCGCCGCGGGGCGGGGGCCGCGCGCGCTGTGCGGGCCCCGGGCCGGGCCGGGCGCAGGGCGCAGCAAACACACACGAGGCGGTGCGAACTCGCGAGGAACGGGCCGGACGAGGCCATCCCACCCACCCAGAGAGGCAGGCCGGCGTTATTGGTGTATTCGCCGCGAAGTTCCGGCTCCGGCTCCAGCCCCCCCCCTCCCCTCCGGAACTGTTCAGTTCAGGCCGACGTACCAATGTGTGCGAAGTGTACGGCTCCGCTTGGTACCACCGCGAACAAGGAGGTTGAGGGAAGAGTATAGTAAGGGGAAAGGGGCGAACTTGGGGGGAGGCTGCCGTGAATTAGTGATGAACGCGAGGCTGGCAGCCTGCCGTACTAACTGCGGGCGGGAATGTGTCGGCCGTGCTGTGCAACACCACGGGGGATGCCGACGGGCAGGCCGACCACAACAAGGGCGTCACTGAACGGCCCTGCACGTCAGCCGAGACCGGTAGCGTTCAGTTGTTGGTCGCCGCCGTGCTGCC